GCGCTGCACCACTTGGTGCAACGCGTGTGGATTGAGGAGGAGGTGCCTCCTGAGCTGAAGGATGCCCTTGTGCTACCACTGTACAAAAGGGCAAAGGGAGCAAGCAATGTTGCACGAATTATCGTGGCATCAAGTTGCTGAGTTGTGTGGGCAAGGTGATTGCCCGAATCCTGCTCAACCGCCTCGTCAGTCAGGTTGTGGAACCTAACGTGGCGGAGGAGCAGTGTGGATTCCGTTCGGGTCGCAGCACTATAGATATGGTGTTTGCGGCTCGTCAGTTGCAAAAGAAGTGCAGAGGACGACACCAGCCACTGTACTCGTTTTTTGTTGATTTCACCAAGGCATTTGATACAGTGAACCGCGAGGCATTGTGGCTGGTGTTGGGTAAGTTTGGTTGCCCGCGTAAGTTTGTAAGTTTAATTGAATGTCTGCACAGTGGTATGCGAGCGAGGGTGCAGCTGAGTGGAGAGACCTCGGATGACTTTGCAGTTGTCTCTAGTGTGAAGCAAAACTGTGTCTTAGCTCCTGCCTTGTTTAATACTTATCTTCACGCAATGATGTCTTGTGCTTTTGATGCGGTTTGTGCTTACGGTGTCCGTGTGAAGCACCTCATTGACCATAGATTACTGAAAATCCGTCGTTGTGGAACAATAACCCTAGTCTGTGAGACAATTATCCGTATGACGACTGTGCGTTGTTTGCACAAAGCGCGGATGAGTTGCAGCACATGACTAGTGCTCTGGCTTCGACAGCGGCCAAATTCGGGCTCACCATCAACACAAGCAAAACTGTCTGTCTCTTTCAGCCTTCACCGGAGGTGCAATCTTCAATATTGCCGAGAACCAGCAATGGCGCTGAAGCATTGGAAACCACCTCCCGTTTCAGCTACCTTGGGAGTGTGATGTCGACTGATCAGCAGCTACACAGTGAGCTGCGTATTCGCGTGTCGAAGGCAGCGGCAGCATTCGGGAAGCTTGAGTACCGAGTGTGGAACAACCATCAGCTTAGCGTTGGCACGAAGCTGATGGTGTACAATCCATGGTGCTGTCCGTTTTTCTATACGGCAGTGAAACGTGGACGATTTATCGGAGGGATGTGCGATATCTCGAGCGGTTCCATCAGCAGTGTCTGCGACGAATTTTGCGGATCGGTTGGGGCGACAGAGTTGCAGACACGGAAGTTTTACGCCGAAGTGGGATGTATGCAGTGGACTGCATACTTTTATTGAGACACCTGAGATGGCTCGGTCATGTGAGCCGTATGGATTCGACGCGGATACCGAAACAACTCTTATACGGTCAGCTGAGTATTGGGAAGCGGCACGTGGGGAAACCAAAGTTACGTTACCAGGACATGATCAAAGTGAGCCTCACACGTTCTAATCTTGATTGCAGATCAAGGGAATCGAAGGCGGTTGATCGGCGTGCATGGCGCGATCTAATCACGAAGGCAGTTGCTGAAGTGCGGGAGAAAGCCCTCATGCATGCAGAGAAGAAGCGGCAAGTGCGGAAGCGGCAAGCACCGATGGGTTGTACTCCATCGACATCGAGCGCATGGTGCTGTAGAACATGCGGTCGCGAGTGCCTTAGTCAGGCAGGCTTAGTGAGCCATGAGCGAGGCCACTCCGGACTACTACCGAAGCGACGACGGGTTCTGCAGAGAACATAGGCAGAACCGGCGCAGCGTTTGTAGGTACGCTGCATTCGATTTACTAACCGCGTGCTTGCATGCTAAGTCTCTTTATTTCAGGTGGTGGGTTTTCAATTTTGCCTTAATGCTTTTCTTTCTCATATAAATATCTCCCTGTACTCTATTCCATTAACTTGCACACCTCGCTTAAGCCAATTGTATTCGATTTCCATAACATTTTTGTGTTCGTGGCATTTCCGTATAGTATACTTTCTCACCTCGTGAACTTATCTAGGATTCGTTTGTAAACAACCTATTTCATATGCTCATTAACTTAAGGTTTATGTCACCGTTTCCGTATGCATCAATCGAGTTATTTTCTTTCCCTCCCTCTCTCTCTCTCAAGTGTTTGGCTGTTGTTTGATATCCCCGGTGTGGCTGCGCTCGATGTGCATGTTGACAAGGTGCCTACCTGTCTATTACCCACTACCTCGTCCATACTGGCTCCAGGAGACAGTTGGTCGTTGCTGGAGGGGACGGGGTGCACGGTCCTTGTGGCCGTGTTAGGCTCGAAGAGTGGTTCCATGCACTCAGTGTGGAGCGGACTACGGTCCAGCCACCGCGCAGTGTGCGCTTGATTCCCCAAATACAGCGTGCTTGTGTTTGCCTGTGAAGGAGTGTGGGCCGGCTCCGTTGATGAAACGTGGTTCCCATCCGCATGCCTCCCGGTCTTATTCCTTCGGGTTTACACTGGATATGGGGTGTGTGGTTGGAGCTGTGGGTGATGCAGCGCAAGCCATCCATGGTCCCTCTGTAGGCGCAGGCGTCCTGTGGCTTGCCACAGTGACAGGCAAATCCGAAACCGGATGCCGCCAACCATAACCTTGGAATCGCGGTACCTACGAGACGTAGGTTTTCATAGACACCTTCACTAATGAAGCCCCCATCACGAAGCTTTTTAAGGCTGTTGCAGATTTGATTCTCGATCTGCTTTGTTTTGTCTTTTTCGCCTATTATCTTTGAAAGCTTGGTGTCATCTGCCAATATTTCATGCATTTTCCGAAGATAGTCTGCTTTGTTCAAGACGACTATTCCCGCACCTTTATCGGGTCGAGTGAGCAAAATATCTTTATTTCCGACTAGATTGTGTAGCGTCTGAATGTGTTCCTGTCTCACCGGGGTTTTATGCGTTATCCGTGCTCGGCGATATTGATAACATGCATGCACCAGCAGCGACCTAAACTCTTCTACTTGCGAATCTGATGTCGGAGACAATTGTGAAGTCTGTCTGTATAGATTTTCAAATTGGGCCTCAATTGCTAGTCTATTGTCCCTTCTAGTAGGGAGACAGAAGTTGGGGTCCAGCGATAAGACCTCCATTGTGGTACGAGCAAGTGTCATGCAAGATAAATTGCACACGTACTCTTCGGGTTCGGCAGGGAAACACATGGTCGGTTTCTCTCCTTTTAGTGTCTTCGAGAGCGAAGCATGTAGCTTTGCGCCTTGTTTTGCAATAATTTCGTTAACCAACGTCTCTAGCTCCGCAAGATCTCTTTCTGAAAGACTGTTTATTACGGGGGTTAATTGACTCAGGCCACGATTTAGCTCATCTCTCTTCACACGTGTGGTTTCCATCTGGCTGAGCGTTAGACGCTTTAGGCAAATGTTGTCCGGCCTGATACGTGAACGACGAAGAGATTTCCAGTAACTCACTGGGTAGATGGAGTTTGCAATGCAATCCTTTACAAAACGAAGGCATATATCCGCTTTCGCTATCCTGGTTCGGAAGCTCACATATCTGTTGAGCGATTTCAACACAGGGGGGGTCAAGCGGTGTTTCACAGTAGTAAAAATCCCATTGATAGATGAAAACTCAATGTTTTCATTGAGTTTTCATCTATCCGCTTTGTATCCTCTCAAAAATTTTGAGTGCGCTATACTCGAGTAGGTTCATCGGCGTGGATCTAAGTCTGTATCAGTGCTGAGTGATTTGTCTTATCTCCTTCGACTTCAGTGAATGAACTTGTTCTCTTTGGACTATCGTTGTCGCCGTAGAGATCTGATATACACAAGACGAAGATTTGGGAACGGAGGTGCAAGAGTTCTTCCAACTCCATGTAGATAACTCGACACGGCGTCACAGTTTGAAATTGTTTAAACCGCGGAGGTTCTGCGTCCGCTCCGACGTCGTTATCTACCAGGGTCGTGAATCAACGGCGCAACCTCACGAAATATGTTGTCAGCGCCCATTCAAGCAGCGGTTGGATAACTACATGCTGAGAACGCCTGCATTCCACTGTTTTTACTGCAGCTGTGCTGATCCATTGGTGAACGCAGGTCAGCAAGGACACGTTATCTAGCCAGTGAATGGGAGGTGAAGGAGCTGACACGGATCTTTTCACTTCTGCTCCCTACAAGACTATGAAACTATGATGTGGTTATACAGAAATGGTAGACAGCAAGCATAATAGTAACATGTATAAAGCAGCAAAACGACGAGCAGCAAAAGGTAGTACTAGGTGAAAACGCGATTAGAACTCGGAACGATAGGTAAGATTTTCAGCATGCTCTTAGTACGGTACCACTTCATACGATCCAAGCTGCCTACGATCTGTTCCACTCAACTCGAGTGCCAACCCTTCGTGGCGACCCATTGAAGTTGTACAAATCACGATCTGACCGGGTTGAGCAGCTTTCCGGTTATCCCGTAAAATCATATGTTATTGGAACGCGCTGCTAGCAAAGTTGTAATGGCACCGACGGTGAGAGTTTGAAGATCGACTTGAAGCCCTCGGTCTGCAGTTGAAAATATTCCCCTTCTTACCTTAAGCTTTTACTCGTCCATTAAGGCTTACTTTTAATTAATTCATTTTCACTTGCTTCTCAATACTACTTACGTAATTTAGAAAGTTTGTTTTTTTCCCTTATTTCCTTTTGTTTGCTTTTATTCACGTGGCCGGCAAAGTAGGGACTGCTAGTGCAGGACACGTGGGGATTGTTTGATTGATCATGTGAAACGTGTATATTGATCTGGCCCTCCTTTGGCAGATCAATACATCGCATTCCTTGTTGGCTCAACGACAATTTCGAAGGTGGAATATTCCCGAGATCTTGCTACTGTTTCGGTCCTAAGTGAACTTCAACTTGAAAAATGGTTGACAACAGTCAAATAATGTTGTACGAGTTAATACAAATACTGTTTTCTACGATATAATAGACGAAAAAATCGCGCCTGACAAGCCAACAAATAGTTACCGCGTCAGGGTGAGTAAACAGTGATAAACGTCCGTGCTATTAGACTTCAGCGGGTAAATAAAGTTAGTAGAGAGAAAACTATAATCCAAGACCAAGAGACGCTGACCAAGACCCACCTCGTGTCCATACTGCATCAAGTGATGTATGGTGATGAATGCCTTGAAAACAACCACCAAGTTGCTATGTTGGGCTCTGCTGACAAGGTAGTTGGCGAAATCGGGGATTGATAACCGAGGTTCGAAGGTGCACTGAACTAGGTCTGCACATGTAAGATTAAAGAATTGGGTGCCAGACTAACAGGCCAGATGTTTCCGTTTAGGAGGCATCATCTCCTCTGTAGTCGCTTTGCAAATAATTTTTGCCACGAGGGATCCAGACAATGTATGTTTTACAGCAGTCATCATATCAGATAAGCTCTGGCCGGTACCACTACCAGCGAGCTGTTTCACCACTTTACCAGCCATAAAAAACAAGCAAAAAATGAAGAAAAGGGTAATTTCTGGATTCTCGAATGACGCGCCCTTAGGAAAGCAGTTCAATGACCCTGGAAGGGATAATGTTAAATGACGGATGCAAATTATTTCACCCGGTACAACTTGCTAAAACGCATTATGCCAAACAAGAAGCTTAAGATATAACGTGCCCTGGTAGAATACATTTTGAGCCAGGTGAGAGTGCACACACTGCGGTTCATCTGCGCTACTCTACGTTACTGCACGCCACGCACCTCCGCACTATTGGTGTCACTTTGATGGGTAACGCAACCATTACAACAATTTGCCAAGCCCAGCTAACTGTTCAACTTCCATCTGAACAATCTGAGCTACCAGTCCACAATACTATAGCCAACAAATTCTGGCGTACAGTGTTACAACCAGCTCTTCGTTGGGCAACCGTTGCCTGCTGACAACTTTGCAAATGAAAACAGCTCTATTTTCTTCCTGAATGTCTGAAAAGGAACCTGCTGCCAGCGAGTAAAACCACAGGCCGGCGCTAAACCATGCAGCCTCTTGGAAGAAGCATGGTCAAGCTGATGATAACTGCACTCTCACCGTGGCTCCTCTACGCTACTGCGCGCCCCTCAAATATGCACTGATGATGTCACCACGATTGGTGACGAAAAGTTTACAATAAAATTGCCAAGCTCAGCGAACAGTTTAAACACCATCTGAATAATCTGAGCTACCATTCTCCAATTCTATAGCCAAGTTCACAACCAGTAGGTGGTAAACAACACAAAGCCGGTAAGTTCATTGGTGGCTTAAGTTACATCCTATGTGCTCTTTGTTTCGTGAATCACTTATAGGTTCAAGTAAACAATCTAAACCTTTTCCCGATTGCTTACATCCATTGTGCAGCTGAATGGAGCCCCAACGATCTGACTTACTTCCGTAAGGAAATTGGACGTGACCCTTAAGGTCGTTGTGTCGCATCTAGAAGCGTTGAGACACACCATGAGCACAGCGAATTTGGAATTGACCAAGCCCAACTTAGCCTTTGAGAGAAGATGTACTATCCCTCGCATAGATAGTATGGGCTAACGTATGAAAAGCGTGGGCGTACTAAAATCTAGTAGGTGACTATTGGCTACCCGAAAGTTAGTTTTATCTGATTTATAGGTCAAAAATTTTCCAAACTGACGTACCGCAGCTGGGTTGAGTTGGTGAAAGTGGACGACAATGTTCGTAAATGCATGAATTGCACACGGCACCGGTGTGGGTGGGGACAAATTCGGGGCTTAAACACAGCGTCAAACTAGCTTAACGGGGTCTGCATTGTCGTGTAAGCTGGCACGCACCATCAATGGTATCGTGCGCAATGCATATCTTGGCGTAGCTGGTAGTCCACAAACGCCTACTCACTCAGTCGCACCACGGGAGGTTTTCTAACTCAATGCCCTTAGCCTGTGCGCAACTGGCTGTCGATGAAAACGGCTTAGAAGCCTACGCGTCTCCAATGGCAACACACGTCGTCCATGGCAGTGTTATAATTGGCTGTATCAAATCCCAGAATATTGTACGCCTAGTTCGTATTGAAATGCAGTAAACCTAAAGGACTACTGGCTTAATGACGCAACCTTAATCCTTGAGGAGCGATTTAATTACACTATGGATACGAGTCACCTGAAATGAGTATTTGTAACAAGTCAGCATGTTGCAGTAGCAAGCCAACAAGCAAGATGTCGTAGAGCTTTGCCAAGAATGCCACTGTCCTCTCTTCGCTTTGCCGCCCCATTTGATAAGCTGCTTAAACAACAGCCCGCCAAATACCTACCTCTTAGTGCCAGCTGTGTGGCTCGGGTTAATTCTGTTCCAGCAAAATGTTCGGCGGCAGTGTGTTATGACGCAGTGGGTTTCTACCCTGCAAGCGTTTTTCCCATAATAAACCACAAATATCTGCTTAACAACACCGTGATATGGTGGATGTAACTAGCCATTAAATAAAAGCAATGCCATACAGCCCCGACGGACCCTAGACATCTAATACAAAGTTTCCCTTTCACGCCTCTCATGCAGGCGGCCTGGCAGAACACAAGCACAAGTACGGCTTCACGTATACAGATTCTCGAAACACAGCTGTAGATGTTCATACCGACTTACAAACAAAATACATCGCAGATCCAATGCGCTACTGCTAAACTTGCAACATTATTGTGCTTCCGACAAATCATTTGGGTTGGTAATGCTATGATCATGCCTGTTCAGGCGTGCCTCGCTCTGTCGATAATAGACTAGTTATTTATTTATATATTGCTTGTGCATCTTATGACCATCCGTCCATTCACCTCAGGCTCGGTCCACTATCGGCAGCTATGACAGCGCTGCTTAGCTGGCCATAAGGTGTAAATATGACGCACCATGCCTTCAGCCCCGGCTCTTCCTAGGTAAGTGTGATGAAAATGCTCACATGCCTTCGAATAAACGGTTCTGCGCTTCGGCCCATCAGTCTTGTACTACTTATGTACACCAGGAATACAGAAGCCCGCGGAGCTGGAACGTTAGTTTCATTTAAGTGTCCATTGGTAGGAAGTTCCCGTAAGTATTCTTTGTAAAGAACGGGTTTGCACCGACGATAAACAATGTGGTTACTGTTTTTGTCAATCCTAAAACGAGTAAGTGCCAGGGATTTATAGTTTTTATAAATTGTTCACCCTTTTCTCTCGCATCCTCCGTTATATAGTGGTATCCATGGCAATTTTGTCAGGATCAACCAAAAAATCCTGGAATACACTCTATCGTGACGCGACTGGACTTTAAGGTGGGGCCATGGTTTGTGTGCCCAAGTGCTCCATTGAGCGATGTTAGGTAGTGATTTTGCACTTTCAGAGTCCAGCCTACCAGATTGGTCAATGGTTAGAGGCCAGAAAACTCACTCTCCTGGCCCTCCAGATTAAGAGTTGGAGTAAGGGTGGCTCCTTACTCCATAAAACGGACCCTGTAGACCAGTGCTAAACCCCGATGCCTTAAGGTAAGGTTTTTGAACCGAAGGCGTTGGTTGAGAACCCTAAGCGTTCTCCTGTCTATGTCTGGGCAACCAGACAGTATGTTGCCCACGCAATACAACGAACCACTCTACGAACGATTTCTTGATGTACTGGCCGTCGCACAGGATAATCGACGGCACCCTGTCTGATGCATTGAGCAGGGTGGATAGGGGTTTTGATACTACTGCTCAGACCCTCCCGTCTTCTTGTCCCCTTTCTTGCGCATCCATTATTATCGTCCCGCTCCACCTTTGCGTCTATCACCCCATGTTCAATCCCCGAATCCTTGGCCTTCCCCCACCTTGCTTCAATAATCGCTTGTCTTCTAATTTCAAATTACACACAATCTCACTGCGTCGCTCCAATCCAGTCGACAAGTCCATGTTCAAACAAGCGGACAACCTCAATTCATCCGTTTCCCTATGGATTCCTCGCGTCTCGCTAAGACTGGCATGCCACAACATACGCAATTTGCTACAGCTTGGCAGACAGGGGGCACTTGCCTGCCCACTATAGACCCTATCGATCGATTTTTCCTATTTACCAGAAACCTGCCAGCAAGGTTCGAACTAAGTGCCTAACCTGCAATCCCCTAAAGGCGACACTGGCGGCACAGTCTCATTGCGCTTGTCTGGCGGTGACGCAGCCTCAAATACCGGTCAAGCTGGCGTCCGCATTGTTTTTTGCCCCCGCGCTGAAGCGGCGTTGCTAGACCGTATCTCAGTCCACAGTAGGATTGCGCAGTTAGATTGACAGTTTCGTTCCATGCTACGAAGTCGCGCGGCGACAGACCGTGTTTGTTTGTCTCTGCGGCTTATGCCCCTACACGCTGTAGCACTGATTCGGTGAAGGATGATTTCTATCAGCAACTTCACCATCTTCATCGTTACGGTAGAAGCACGGATACTGCGTGTCGCTTGGCAACTTAGCTGCCCAAGTCGGAATATTGTCCTCTGATGCACTTCAGCTGGGCGGCCATCATGGTGCAGGCTCCAATAATGCTAGCGGTGAGCGATTGCTGCAGCGGTGCGAAGATGCTGGTCTCTTAATTGCGAGCACAATCTATCGACACAGCAACCGTAGATGCGTCATTTGGCGCCCAACGGCTTCGGGCCAGTCATGGTAGCAAGTCGGTCATATCGCGATCCGTTACCGCTGGATGGTTGTATACAATCTGTTGCTCGCGTTGGAGCACGAGCGTAAACACTGACCACGAACTTGTCTGCGCCGACATCCAAGTGCATTTCGGTGGACGTCCGCAACGTCAAGGCGAACGGATTGGCGCCAGCTAGCTGGTGAAACCAGGTGTTCTTAATGTGTCTCAAAATGCGTTGACATCCGGGCTGGGGAAAAAGTCACTGAAGACCGTCGAAGATCACTGGTCGCATATTCGTCAAACATTACTATTAGCAGGCAGGGCTTCATGTGGCAACTCAGACTGTCAAACTAGACATGAGTCTCTAAAAGGTCACAAAACCTTACGGATGCTCGCCGAAGTATACTGGCTGGAGGCGAATATAGGGAAGCTTACAAAAATCTCAGAGCAAAACTGCGTGCTAGCCTAAAGAAAGGTCGCGAAGCCTGGTGGTCGCCTCGTGCCTCGGAGATGAAAGCAGCCGCTACCGTTGGTAATCATCGTAAGTTACTTCATCTAATACGGGAAACAGGCAACAGGAGAATTGGTGTTAGCGAGACCATAAGCGACGGGAGTGGGCAGCCGAGCCACAGCTTGGAGTGTTGGGCCGAACACTTTGCAAGAGAGTTTAACCGACCTGAGTCATCATTTTTTCGGGCATTTAATACTCTTCTCTCGGGGTCGTCTCCTAGGATCAGCCCACCGGTACAGAGGTCTTACGTGAGATCAGGCTGTTGAAATTGTATAAGACCGTAGGGGCAGCTAAATTTCCCCAGCCCTTTTCTAGGTCTGCGGATCTGTTCCAGAAGCTTATTTACACGAATTTCTAGTGAAACTTCGGCAGCGGAGGACCGTACAAAGAGCCCGGAGCCGCTCCGTCATTGTCCCAATTTTTAGGGAGGTGCCCATTCGGAATGC